TTTCCCTTCCCCTCCCCACAACAGACACCCTGTGAGGTAGGTGGAGCTGAGAGAGCTCTGACAGAAACTGCCCCTTTTCAAGGACAGCTCTTATTAGAACTATGGCTTGCCCAAGGTCATCCAGCCAGGTGCAAGTGGAGGCGTGGGGAATCAAACCCAGTTCTCCCAGATTAGAGTCCGCGCACTTAACCACTACACAAAACCGCTCTGAGACTCCTTCGGGTAGTGAAGGGCGGGGTATAAATCCAATCTCTTCTTCTTCTATACCCCGCCCTTCACTCAGAGTTTCAGAGTGGCTTACAACCTGCTTTCCCCTTCCTCTCCCCACCACAGATACCCTGTGAGGTAGGTGGGCCTGAGAGAGCTCTTTCGAGGACTACTCTTGAGAGGACAGCTCTGAAAGAACTTGTAACTGGCCCAAGGTCACTCCAGCAGCTGCCTGTGGAGGAGTGGGGAATCAAACTGGGTTCTCCCAGATTCGAGTCCACGCTCCTTACCACTACACCAAAATGGCTCTGAGGATAAAATGGAGGGTGAGGATAAAATGGAGGACAGGAGAACAATGTAAGCCGCTTTGGTTTCCCAGTTGTGAGAAAAAGTGGGGTATAAATGAATATAGATGAGGCAAATTGAGGATAAAATGGAGGACAGGAGACCAATGTAAGCCACTTTGGGTTCTCGGTTGAGGGAAAATGTGGGGGTATAAATGAAGTAAATAAATAAAATTAAGCTTTTTGATCTCCCTAATGACTCTTCTTATCTACCTCTCCCCCTTAGATTTCACAAGCTGGAAAAATGGCGGAAACCGTTTTACGACGTCCTGCAGGCTTACGAAAATGCCTCGGTGCTGCTCCCCGCCTTCTACAACACCCGCAACACGGACGTCTCCATCCGGGTCAAGTACGTCCTGGACGATTTCGAGTCCCAGCAGGCCGTCTACTACTTCCACCCGCAGTATCTCATCAACGTCTCGCGCTATTGGCTGAGCCAGGGCGTGCGGGCCAAGCGCGTCAGCACGGGCCTGATCCTGGTGACGGCTGCCCTGGAGCTCTGCGAGGAAGTGCACCTTTTTGGATTCTGGGCGTTCCCCATGAACCCTTCAGGGATCTTCATCACCCACCATTACTACGACAACGTCAAACCTCGGCCGGGTTTCCACGCCATGCCTTCGGAAATCTTCAACTTCCTCCATATGCACAGCAAAGGGATCCTGCGGGTACACACGGGCACCTGCAGCTGATGGCAGACGGCGAGCTTCACTTTGTCCGTGCACTGTGTAGAGGAAAAGGAGGAGGAGAAGGCGAAGTACGTGGGAGCTCTGTGTCTGAGAACCAAGTCCTGGCACTGTTTCGGAGGCGGGAGGAGTCACCCCAGAGTGACTTCCCCTCTCTTGAATGTCTCATGTTTAAAACGATCTCGCGAAAGGGTCATTCGGTGGGTAAGTTTCCCATGCCACGCTGGAAAAGAAACCCGCTTGTGGCTGTGTGGATTGGCCGTGGATCTTTAACCTAGAAGAGCTGGAGGACTTCAAGGAGATTTATGCAATAATGTTTGATAAAAAAAAAAAAGTACATTTCTTCTTCAAGGCTTTGGGTTCCTCAAGACCTGGGGTTGCCAGCACTTTCCTTTGCTAGCCATGTAGGGTTACCGTGATTCAGGGGAAGCCCGTTACAAGAATCCATGCACTTAACCTGGCACCCAGAAGGAGCAGAGAAGCACACTGTCTATAGATTTTAGACCACCAACTAGAGCACATGATAGTCGTGATTGTTCTTGTCATTCCCCAGGAAAGCTCTCAGCCTGATTTTACTTGACAGAGTCGAGGAGCTAGATCCGTAGCTCGGGCACTAATGCCCTGCTAGCCCGCGTCAGGGGATGCTAAAAAAAACCCCTCCCCCTGGAAGTTCTCTTTGCGCCCTGTCTGCCATGCGAGCTTCTCCCACCCTCATTCCCCATAAGTAGTGATCATGTCAAAAAACCCTACTGATCTAGCAGTTGTTGAAAGGATATACAGATTTCCCGTCTTCTCCCTCTGGTTGGACACTCAAATAACTTAGCAAGGACTCACTTCCCCTGAACGATATTTGGCCATACTTACAATTCTGGGGTTTAAGGGAGGATAAAAGGATATGGGGGAATAAGAAGAGATTGGATTTCTACCCCGCGGTTAAGACGCTGAACTGCAGGCTGTGGAAGGTCGGTAGTTCAGCAGTTCGAGACCCGAGTGTGCCGCATGACGGAGTGAGTTCCCGTCTCTGGTTCCAGCTCCTGCCAACCTAGCAGTTCGAAAGCAAGAAATTGCAAGTAGATAAATAGGTACCACTTCAGTGGGAAGGGGACAGCGTTCCGTGCGCCTTGGTGTTTAGTCATGCCGGCCACATGACCACGGGAATGTCTTCAGACAGCGCTGGCTCTTCGGCTTTGAAACGGAGATGAGCACCGCAACCCTAGAGTCGGATTCGACTGGCTTTCGAGCAAGGGAACCTTTACCTTTTTAATCGGGATTACAGATCCATTAAAGATGTGCTGGGTTGCAAAGTTACATGAGACACAGATGAGCTGTGCAGAAGGTGGACGGGGATAATCAAGGTCAATTGGCGTGTAATTGTTAGAATTCTGGATTAGAATTGGGGGTAGGGAAGACCTGGGTTCGAAGCCCTACTCTTCCATGAAGCTGAGTAAATGTCCTTGGGCCAAGCACCTGGTATTTTGGCCACTGTGTGACAGAGTGTTGGACTGGATGGACCATTGGCTTGATCCAACATGGCTTCTCTTAAGTTCTAATAGCAGTGGTCTATGCGTGGCTATTAGCTACAAGGTATAGATGGAACACTCTGTCTGGGGCAGTGATGCACTGTCTTCTTGGTGCTTGGGGGGGTCAACTGTGGGAGGGCTTCTGGAGTCCTGGCCTCGCTGGTAGACCTCCTGATGGCAACTGGGTTTTGGCCACTGTGTGACACGGAGTGTTGGACTGGATGGGCCATTGGCCTGTTCCAACATGGCTTCTATTGTGTTCTTATGTCTGTGGCAGTGATGCTCTGTATTCTTGGTGCTTGGGGGGCAACAGTGGGAGGGATTCTGGAGTTCTGGTTCAATTCTCCTTTCCTGCACTGCAGCCAGACCTTCACCCCTCACGTTCTCTGTAAGCTTTTATAGCAAAGTCAGGTCTAAACCTACAGTTCTACTATTGTCTCGTGTGACCTTTAGCCATCAGAACACTTCCTGATTGGACAGGCTTAAAACCTGAATAAAAATATAGTTGATCAGCAGTGTTCCCTGTGAGCGTGAGCGGCCGCTCATTAACACAGGAAGCCCCCCTGGGGCCACGCAGGGTCTTGCACTGCCCATTGCCCATTTTGAGACGACGGCAGTTCTGTTCTGCTCGGGATGTGAACTGCTTCGCTCAGGAGGGGGGGGGGGAATAGAGGGAACATTGTATGTTCAGGTCTCCCCACCACCACCCATCTTCCCAATGCATATAAAAAGGAGTCTTGTGGCACTTAAAAAAAAAAAAAAAGACTGTAAAAAGTTATTTATTTATTTATTTAAAACATGCATTAGCTGCCATTCTGCCATGTAGGAACCGAAGGCGACTTCCAATGTAAATAGTAACAGTATTTAAATAGTATTTCAGCTTGAGCTTTTGTGCCCCAGAAGCCGCCTCTTCAGATGGATGGTCTATGAAACCCATCCCTCCAAAGGGACGTTCAGGAGTTCATTGTATCCTTACGGCCATTTGGCAGGAACCCATTTTTCTAAACTGACTCCCTGCCTTTCTCCCCCCGAGGAGCAGTTTAGTTTGTTCTCCTCTCTTCCTCCCTTTCATCCTCACAACAACCCTGTGAGGCAGGTCTCGCTGAGAGGGTGTGCCCAACACATGGTTACGCAGCAAGCTTCCGTGGCCGAGTGGACATTCGAACCTGGGTCTCCCAGATCCTAGGCTGACGCTCTAATCACTACACCACTCTGGCATTAATGCACCTCACTGACCATTTGGTGTTCTCATTTTGAGCACATTCCCCTTCTGCGCAATCAGTCCCATCTGGCAAAGGTCGTCTGCATGTGCCAACAGACTTAGGGGGCATGTAGCCCATTTGGATGTAGGGCCCTGACCTGGATAGCCCAGGCAAGCCCGATCTCAGAAGCGAAGCAGGGCCGGCCCTGGCAAGTGTTTGGAAGGGAGACCTCCAAAGAATACCAAGGCTGGGATGCAGAGGCAAGAAAGAAATGCATGTGCCCAAATTTTAACACCAACAATTAATTTAATAACAGTAAGACACATAAAGGAGCTGCGGTGGCTCAAGTGGTTAAGACGCTGAACTGCAGGCTGTGGAAGGTCAGTAGTTCAGCAGTTCGAGACCCGGGTGCCGCATGACGGAGTGAGCTCCCGTCTCTAGTTCCAGCTCCTGCCAACCTAGCAGTTCAAAAGCAAGAAATTGCAAGTAGATAAATAGGGACCACTTTGGTGGGAAGGTAACAGCGTTCCGTGCGCCTTGGTGTTTAGTCATGCCGGCCACGTGACCACGGAAACATCTTCGGACAGCGCTGGCTCTTCGGCTTTGAAGCGGAGATGAGCACCGCGACCCTAGAGTCGGACTCGACTGGCTTTCGAGCAAGGGAACCTTTACCTTTTTAAGACACATAAAGTACTCAGAACAAATTTTCCATAAACAACAGGTAGAAATTCACTGGTAAAGTTTTCACAGGTAGAAATCCACAGGTGGAGTTCTCCCACAAACAATTTGTAATAAATTCAAAAAAGTCCTTGATCTGTAAGGATGTAGTAGTGTCTCTGCCAGCCAACTCGACGGACCCCCCCGGTTCTACATCCGTTTAAATACTTTCCCCCCTCCAAGAATCATGCTGGATTCAACATTTCAAAGGTACACGTAGACACCCGTAAAGCATATTCAAACTCAGCAATCCTCAGTGATTCCCAGTGCAGAATCTATCATTTCTTGGAACCGCCCTTCAAAATTCTGAAGCGTCTCACCATTTTCATTAGAGGCAGGCACGATCGAGCCACCTCTCTGAAACGTCCAAGCCCCCCAGTTGGGGTCGCCAGAAGTCACCGTGACTTCCAGGCACGCAAGGACACGCGCACACACACAAATACCAAAATAAAAACAATATGGATGTGGGGAGGGGGAACCACGGGTCGCGTCTCAGTGGTAGGGTGTCTGCTTGCTGTGCAGAAGGTCTGTCAGGCTCTTACAGCATCAACGAAGCACACTCTTGTAGAAAGGTTTTACTTTATTTGAAGCTATAGATGCGTGTACAGGATCACTGTTAGGAATGAGGGGAATCAAAGGACATGACGGGTTATAGTGCATTCAAACAACTGAGGTCAAACAACTGAGGCCCAATTACGGGAGTTCCCCCGCGCGCCATCAGGCCTGGGAGCTAACAGTACTAGGCGGTATAAACATATCTTCTTCCCACGGCACCTCCGTGAGATCACCCAAGCAACTATCCAGCAGCGAACCTGCTGTGGCCTTGAGAGATATACTCGTTACAGGAGCTAAGTGATTAAGCGCATCATCATGCATACATCTGAAAACGAAAGCAGTCAAGCGCATCAATAGAGATACATAAGAAAACAGCAAAAGACGAAGAATTGGCAGCTTGCTGACAAGGTCCCAGGTTCAATCCCCAGTGTCTCCAGTAGAAAGGACCAAGTAGGGGGTGGTGTGAAAGACCTCTGCCTGAGACCCTGGAGAGCCGCTGCCAGTCTGAGTAGACAAGACTGACCTTGGTGGACCCAGGGTCTGATTCAGTAGAAGGCCGCTTCAGGTGTTCAACCACAACATTTATTTATTTATTCCTTCGATTTATATACCGCTCACCCCCTAAGGGCTCTGAGCGGTTTACATCATACAGTTGATACCATTCCTAATCTAAGGCCACACACATACAATGGGGAAGTGACTAACCAGCAGGCACCCTCTGGCGGAGTCTATCATTGTGGTCTTTTCTGCTGGAGGTCTTTCTCAGTCCGGTGACTTTTCCTGGTGCAGGTCTTCCTTGGCCGTTGCAACTCCTCCCGGGCCTGGGCCAAGCACACGTCAGCACGTGCTCGCTGCCGGCCTTTGTCCAATTGGCTCCGGCCTGCTGCGTTGCCCCGCCTTTCGCCGGCCCAGCCTCCTTCAGGCTACATTGTCAAATGACTCCAGGAAATTCTGGGCGTTGGTGTCAGATAAACATAAAACGAAGAGTGCCCAAATAAACGCCATCACACCAGTTCACTGGTATGACTATTTTTTGAAGCTTTTCTATG